TTGCTTTTCATTGTGCCTGCCCTGTTTTATTTTGTGCTTTGTGCTATGTTTCATATTCATGGTTGTTTTAACAGAAATACATGTTGATATAAATCTCAAAGAAGAATATTTTCCATGACTAACATTCAGATCAAATTGAGTGTACTTTATTAAGCATAAAAGTATGCCTAAAAACCAGAGAACTTTCCCAAGAGACACATATGTTACTCCCCAAATAATTTTCCAGAACAGTAATCATTCACCTTGCTATTTGAGTCACTGCATCCCAGAAAAGGCTTACTAATGTTTCTGTTTTTCCTAAACTATATTATCTGCAAATATGTTTATTTTCAAAGCTTAGTAACAAAGCAACTGATTTCCTACTACCTAGAACCATTCAAGTTACTTGTGATCAATCATTATGAGTTTGAATTAAGTTATCCGTTTTCCTCAGTTGCCATCCTGACCAACCCTTAAGCCAGAAGGAGGAAGACAAAGGTGATGTCATTAAAAAAAAATGAAATTAATTATGGCCTTGTTTACCACCTGGTACCTTTGAGCCAGCTAATGAAAGTACATGCACAACTGCAATGAAATGCTATTGAGAGGAGATGCTCAGGCTTCAAGGGCAAGAGGCACACAAACAAGCCTGAAGAGTCTTTTTTCTTTAGTACCCACAAGGATTCAGTGTCTCATGTTCCAGAAGACACTGTTCCTCTGTCATGAAATTAAGACAAAACTTCACAAAGGCGAGTTGCTGGAAATTATTAAGATCTGTCAGTAGCAGCAAAAATAAGGAATTGTCTCAATTGTGGGGTTTTTTCCTCCTTAATCTAGTAGCTCCTTTTGGGAGCAACAGTTTTCTACAGCCATGAAGGCAGCTAGCTGATGCAAAAGAAGTTCAAACACTTGTTTCAAAGGTATTATAATTAATGATTTATCAAGCTTCTGAGCCGTAGAATCACACAATTAGGTTGTCTCTCTGAATAGAAATACATTAACCACAGCAAACAGGGCTGGGCTAAACCTTTTTTGAAGCCAAGTACATAAAAGACTTACACAATCTTCAGCAAGTCAAGGAGAGCTTACCTCACCCTCTGTCAATGAACCACTGATGAACAGATTGATTACATTGCTGGCATCTCATACTGACCAAAGCCCACTTGCCTAGCTATCCCCATCTCATGGGAACCAAATGGCTTTAAAAAAGTCATAAGAAAACTGCTAACCATGAAAGTTGTGGTATGACTGACCAGAAAGCATCCCTGCTGCTGGCAAGCAGAGCAAGAACTGTTCCTGGTACCTTCCCTTCTCCTCACTTCTTTTAAGTTACTCTAAAATAGTTGCTTTGTGTTTCTGCAGTTTTTTCCTTGGCTAGGGCAACAAGAACATGTCGTATTTGATGAATTTGCAAAGTTGTAACGATTACAAATGAAAAAGTGAAAAATGCTTTTGAAAGTTTGACTTCTCTCAGTCCTGGTAACTCCCCATCTTCTCTTACAAATGCCTCAGAAGGTTTGCAGTAATAGTGCAGAAATAAGCTCAAAGACCTTCACTTTCAACGACAAATGACCAAATGTCATCCTTCACTCTCCAGCTGCAGACTGCACATGCTGACACTTTTTGTTGTCCCCAGCAATCTGAATAAACCTTGGGTTTAGGCATTATTCATCCAACTCAGAGTTTCAAAATTCTACCTCACCACAACTGCTGGTCCCACGTACTGGTATAAATAGAAATTTGGTGTACACAGTTTCAATATCCATCCTGCTGCAGTGGCATGCATTTTTTATCCCACATTTATTTCTCGGGCATGAGATCCTTTCTGCTTTTCATTATTCAAGTAGCCAACTACTGATTTTGTCCCTAAGAGTATGTAAGATCCAGCTGAGCTGAACACCAGGAGGTCTGTACTGAGAAAGGAAACTGAAAACTAGGCTTAGATTTCATCTGAATTAAATGGCTGTGTTCTGACAGTGATTTCTCAAAATACTTCATAAATTCCTCTCTCCCATCTGCATCAATGCTTATAGCTAACATATTTTGACATGCTAGTTGCTTACTACTTCTTTGAAAAAGAAAAGGGAAAACCTCTAAAGAGTCCAAATTTCAGTCTGACTTTCTCCTTTCTCCAAATTTTTCAGAGGAAGATTGCCAGACATCAAAAAAAGTTTGAGGGACAACATACTGCTCAGCATAGCGTATTTTTATGCAAAGACTAGACACTGGTGTATACTTAGGGCACCAGCAACACTGCTAATACAAAAAAAAAGGACATTGTAATGAATTTGTCCTGGTTTTCAAAGGTGTTCTTCTGAAACGTAGGCCAAATCGAAGAACTTATCAAATGGATGTATTTGACTGCTTGGTTATTACCCAACTCCCCTCCCCTGCTTCCAGCTTGGGTCTCATAAACACGAAACTTCAAGAGAGTGTAAAATTACAGACGGGTCCAGCAGTGGTTTCTCTACTTTTGGATGGTTTTTTTCTCCTTCCTTAATTTTACCTTATACTAGAGCAGAAAAGGTGGCTTACAGTGCCAATGGTGCATTTAATCCTGCCCAAGGCTTTATTTAATTAAGACATGCAATTAATCTCCCATTCACATGTCAACAGTTCAAGGCTAATTGTCACTGTTTTGTTCTAGCTTCATCCCCACTCTGTCTCAAACCTGACAGTATCAATTCCCAACCAAAAATACATGACCATTTGCCATCAGGAAGCCTTAAATCAGAGCCTATCCTTAGCACATGTGTCCAAGGACCAGCAAGGATGCCCCAGCCCAGCTCTGAGAGGCACATGCACTGGTGGCATTTTTGGGTGCACACCTATGCATCCAGCCACACACTGTAGAAGCTGAGACAATGATCCATACAGGGCCAGCACTGGTTTATTTCCTCAGAAGCAACCAGGAAACAAAACTCCTCTAGACAGTGCTGCTGACTTTTCTTTTTTTTTGTGGCCATAGCTCTTCTCAGACCATACCCATATAACACCTCGCCACCAGATTTCATGCTTTCAACCACATCCCTTTTAGGGCACCTGTTGAGCTCCCACACTAAAAGCTTCTTCTCACCTCCTTAAGCTACTCCCTACTTTCAGGATCCCTCACAGTACACTCTGCCACAGATAGAAAAAGATTTTAAATCTGTAGGTCTGGTTTTAAATGATTTGTGAGGACCTTGACAAGCACAACTGCATTGGACCATCCTGCACTTACAAGTGTGAGTCCCTCACAGCCTCAGGGATTAACTTAATTATTGTCCTTAATTATTATTAAGGACACACTAAATAGATAGGGGTTCCTTTGCCATCAGAAATGTCCCCTGGTTTTTCAAAGGTTACTGACAAGCTTGGCACTAGAAAAGCGTAGGAAAATATTCCCCTCTTCCTTTTCATTACGCAAGTGTCATGCAGAGGTGAGAGGAGTGGATGTTGCATTAATACAAACTAAGTAGCAATTCTAGTATCCAGATTTCATTTTCCCACAAATATGAAACTCCCAGATGTAATAATTCTACCCCAAAAGACCCGAAAGCATTGAAAATACATCGTTTTCCAAATTAGGTTACTGAAGCACCTCTGAGAGCATCCAGGAGCCTCCCTGCGCAGGGTACGAGGGGCCTCTTGTGGTGGCCGAGCGGCTGGCTCAGCGCTCCTGCATCGCAGCCAGGAGCTGACAGATGCCAGCCACAGGTGAAAAAACTTCTATCCAAATTTATATCTCTCATTAAAGTGACCTAGCTCGTTTAATGCAGGAGACATTAGTGTATAACCCAATATTGCAACCTAGTTTGTCATCTTGGTCTCCAGCTATGAACACAAGGCATCTAAAAATAAAACAGTGCTCTCAGTAATATTTTATTAAATGCTGTCAAATCTAATGCAGCCTGCCTAACCACAGTGTCACAGAAATAATAGCTGCTCGAAACAGCTCACCTAGCTTCAGCTTGAATCTGGTTCGCTGGAAGAAAGAGTCAAATTGTCCCCGTAAATCTAAGACCAGATTTCTGATGGATCTGTGAGCCTGCCTTGTGCTTTACATTAGGTGCAAACTGTAACTGAATGCAGAGTTAAACCAGCAGACATCTCTTTCTTCCCTGCACAGGAGCTCCATCTACTTGAAGAACCCCACTAGCAATGCTTTCTAGATTTTTGTAGTGAACTCAGAAGCCACCAAATGCTGTTCCAGGACCAGCAACAGAGCATCATATGACTGCCCAATATGAACTCCTAGCAAGGATCCAAACAACCTCTTCCCACTTGTCCTGCATGCTTCAGTCAAACAGGGGGACACATCCATCTCTTTAGTTGGTCAAACACACAACAAGGCAACTTCTCTCTCCTGTAATTTTTTTTAGATTATTGAATTATTTCATGTGCTCTAGTCTACAGTTTCCTCAAAACTGGTGTATTCTGCCACAAAGCTGAAAGTAATATTTATAGGCTCCATATCTATCTGATGATTTATTGACCCAAAAGATCCCACTCCAGGCACAATCCTAAAGTAATTTCTTTTCAAAAATTGGGCTCTGTATTTGGGTTTCTAGTTTAGAGACACCTTAAAAGAGAAGTACAGTCTCCAGCCACTAGTCACCCAGTTTTCAAGTTATTTATTTATTTATTCCAAAATCAAATTTAATTTTTAATCCCTAGATCAACTTCTGCAAGTATCTTTCAGACAAAAGCCCACAACCCTACAAACCACATTTATTTGTAGGAAAAGCACCAGTATGCTTTTTTTGGAGAACACAAAGCGCTAAACACACTTGAAGATCCCTTCTTTCTGCAGAAAACCACACCACCATTTGGAAATGCCTTTTCCCATCAAGAGCACTGCTCATATCAGCTGCGAGCAATACCAAGTATTGCTGGGCTCCACATTTGACACACACAGTCACATATTCAACTGTCCTTACAAGAGGCACATCTGCTTGAAGGTTCATTGGAGACACTACCACTCCCCTAAAAGTCCCTCTTTCATCATTAGCCCATAATTTAGCTTTCATCTATCCAAAGTCCTAGACAGGAACCCAAGAAAAAGCAACAAATAGGAAAATGGGCCCCAATGCTGTACTCACCGGTGTGCTGCTGTCGGAAAAGGTGTTCATGCTGATGGACCTGCTCATCTTGTCTGAGGAGAGGGATGGTGGGGAGGGGCTGCGCTTGTCCAGCTGCTCATGGTGTGGCAGGTCCTGGCGCTGCAGGTACTCACGCCATGCTCGCTGGATACTATGACACACACCAAGGCATGGGGTTGAGGGGAAATGCAGCAACAAAAAGGTTTTAAAATATATATTTTTGACTGAAGAGGTGGGATTTGGTAGTTTTCTCTTTCTGTGCTCTTTGTTTTCTGATTTGGATAATGATCACACATAACTACACTCTCTACATCTTTTACTAGCCACTACTAGTATAACTTGAGATATCTGTTAAGTTGAAGCAATTCTTTATTTCAGATTCTTAAAACTACAGTGATTGGAATTTGAGGCTATGCATAACTCAGCAGTTCTCCTTCATCTTGCAAACAAAGAAAAAAATGCAATTATCTGTGTAAAAGAATGAGCAGCCTTCAAAATCTTATATTTATATCAGCTTTCAGATTATAATGTAGATACAATTGAAAGTTCAGAGCCAGTGTCCTTTAAAATGTCCTCAGTCTTGGGTAGCTGGGGACTTAAAACCTCCTCCAAATCAATGCGTGGAGATTGTGGTAGGAGCCCTGCTTCCAAACTCCAAACTTTGGTCAAGTTCTTAAAATTTTATGTGAAATTTTGTAATGAAATTCAATTTTCTGTGCTAGCTGATGGCCAGAGTGGCTCTCACCAGGTGGCAGTGCCGGACAGCCTGTGCCTTTCTAAAGGTGCCAGGGAGACCAGTGAGAGATGCTGTGAATTAAAACTGTTTTCAATGGCAATGGTCTTAGCACAAAGTACGGGGGTGTTTGCACACAGGATGATCTGGGAACTCTGCAGAAAAGCGGAGCTGAATTCTGACCCGAGACTCAGCAGTGTTGCTGCAGTGCAAGGAGCTAGAAAGAGGTCCTTGGATTTTTAAGGATTTTAAAGTGCTTAAAAAGGGATTTTTACGAAATTGTGAGTTCAGTCACTGGAATATCAAGTCAGTAAACCTTCAGTGTGGCTGTTAATCAGGTAGAACACCCCAACTTTTGCTTAAGTTGCTCTCAGTGGTCCAAAGCCCTTGTGCTCCTCTGCGAGGAGCGGGTGGGAGCCGACACTTCTCCACCCTACCCGCTCCAAAAGGGCTTGGCACACTCTTGCTGCTGGGGTGCTCCCCAGTAGGGGTCCCACGGCCAAACCCCGCCTGACCCTGCTCCCACCCACGGTGCCTGCACTCAGGGGCAGTGCAGAGGGCGATGCTTCTTCCTGAAAGAACCTTACCATATACTTTATGGTTCAAATCAAAGGGTCCAAAGCCTTCAGCATGGATTTACTTCATCCTAGCAATACTTTTGTTAAATTTTATGTTGCCTTTTTAACAGCTATGATGTCCTTTCTGCTCTCATCTCAATAAGCCAGGAAAACATTTAGCCCCTAGACACAGCAGAATAGGTGTCTGGTTACACACTGCCACTTCCAACTTCGTGGCTTCGCAGGAGAAGAACCAAGCTACAACTTTTCATTGACTGCTGCAGTACTGGGAACAGTGGGAAGTGTCACTTGGCATGTAATTTTTCCTCGTCAGGGAACAACACTCCCAACACACAAGGCATTTTGAACATCTCAAGGTTGAGGAAACCCAATGTACGTATTTTGTTATTTTTTTAGAAGAATACCAGATCAGAAACAAAGCAGCTTTTGTTACAGCCTCACCAGGATAAATGCACTTTAGAGCAAGTCAGGTAGGTTAAGTTCTGTGTTGTTTTCATACAGGAGCTTTAAAAAGGACAGCAAAACTCCCAAATGGGAGTGCCAATGGAGGAGCTTTGAGTAAATGAATTTTGCTTTAAAAAACCCTCACAACTTCACACCTCAAGTGTTTACACTTTGCCTTGTTTCAAGCTTTACTGCATACTATATACAAGCAGTATTTACATATTTATGTGTAATTTCTGTTTTAAAGCTCAAGCATATACTGAGGCGAAGTCATAACTACTCTTCCAGAAAGCTCTCTGAAAAATTATTCTTTCATCTGGCTTAGATTTGCATGACTAAAAGACGCTGGCTGGACTTTAATTTGAAACTTCATGTCCTTTAAATATTCGAATATAGCATTAATATTTTACCATCCTGTACAGCGCATTGGCTGTAGATTTTCAACTGAAAGTGAAATTCAGCATGTAATGTGGCAACACATACAACTCTGTGTGAAGCTGTGCCTGATGTTGCAAAATTTTGCTGTGAAGTAGTTGGGCACTTCAGGGTAAAGATGTTGATGTTTTTCGATGCAAGTGGAGCTGTGTTAAAATTTTACTGTCTGCTGGGGAGTTTATTACCATGTCTATTACAGCCTGGTCAAGCTTTTCAGAACAATTGACCTCATGGTAAACTATAGAACATATAGGAAATGTATTACAAAGGCTAGAATTATTGCATTTGAAAGTTGGGAGCTCATTACCAGAACACAGTGCTACTTATCTCTTCCTTCCAGGTGGTGCAGCTAGGTGTCATCTATGTGCCTTGACTGAGTGCTAGCAACTGCCACACTTTCCAATAACAATCGGCTTTTTTAGAGCCATAGAGCTGTGCTGCACCCCTCAGCCCAGGAACCCTGGGTCTCCTTGGTCCCATCTCTCCATCCCCATGCAAACCCAAGGACTTCTCCTTGCAGAGTCCTGTGAGCCACCTGAGGAGCTTTAACAAGGCTTTACATTAGATGTGAAAAATACCACTGAGCACTTCTGCTTGCTCTGTACTATATGTCCCACCACCAGGATATTCTCTGTATTTATCAAAAAACTAGCAGGTTTTCAAATATTCTATAGTTTCACAGAGAAAAAGACAAAATTAGTGCAACATGGAAGTTTAACATTTGAAACTCAGTTCAGAAAGAATGTTCACCTGTGTAAAAGTAGAGAAGAGCTTAGCTACCTTGCAAAATTGAGGCTTCTTTATACTTAAAGTTACACAAAAATCTGTGATGGAAATAGTTTGGGTTCTGTGGTTCAGGAATTGGACAAATTCAGCTGCATTTAAAGGCGGAAAAGACATTCTTTGTTACTTACATTTTTACTTTTGATTCCAGGGGCTGTAAGTTGATATCATATTTTTTGATATTATTTTCTTCATCCATGGCAAGCTGATGGCTATGGAAAAGAAAAAGAAGTATTTAGTGTGGCTCAGTGTAATGTTTTTGCAATCACTATGAATTGACTCAGAAATTCTGACAGGAGTGTACGGGAGCTGCTCATTATGAGGTATCTCTGTCTTTGGAGGAAGACATCTGGGTCCCTGTCTCCAGTCCCATTTGACTGTTAACAGAAAGTATGAATTTGGATCCAGCTTCCAGATTGGAGCCTGACTGAGTCCATGAACTAAACCTTCCAGATGCTACAGCTCCAGAGACAGGCACACCCAGCAAAGAAGCCACTGCAAATAAAAATAACCACTGGCAAATATAATAGATATTCTCACTAAATTAACTTTCATCCCTGGGGCTACGTTTGAAAAGCTGAAGAGTAAAATGAAAAGTAACAATGGTAATGCCAGTAGCAAATGAATTCTATCAGCAAGAGCCATACAGGAATATGAGGAAAAAATTCTTTGTAATAAATGATGACTAAGGAATTGGTGCTGCAAACCAATCACTTTGAGAAAACAATTTTAAAATGCTAGGACATAAAAATCAAACATTTCGGGACACTGCTTTAGATGGGACGAGCAACATGAATGGAAGGTCTTTGCATGAAAACTTGTAAGATTAGACCCCAACCTGTGGAGTTAGTTTGAGACTTTACTGGACACTTAATGAAACCATTCAATCAGCAGCAGTTTTCAGAAATTATCCTCCTGTAACTAAAAATAAGAATCATTTATGGGAGAGATGCAAAATCCTGAATATTTAGTATATCACCAAGTGAGAGAAACAGTCTACAACAAAGAGACTGTCCCTCGAAAAGGGTTTATTGGCTTCGAAAAACCATTTCACTTTATTCGGTGTGAAATGCAGCAGAAATCACACTTTTACCTTTGAAGCAAGTCTTTGCCATCATTGACCTGTTCCAAGGTGTGCTGGAGCCTTTTGAGTTCTTCCTACAAGGAGAGAAAAAACCCATTTCAATGTGCTTATGGGAATCCCTTGGTTGATGTTAGAGATCCTCCTTCAACCTCAAGATGTTGTGAGCCAGTCACTAAACAAGATGATCCAGCAGGTAATGTCTACAAGATTACTTTCAAATTTAGATATTCAAAATAACTATAAAGAAACCAATATATTTATCAATATGTTCAGCACATAAGTCTGAAAAAAAATATTAGACCTACAAAAATAACAGGCAGAGCAAAAGAGAAAGGTACTTTTTCATGTCTTAGGTGTGTGGCTGCTTTGACTTGAGAGGAGATGGTCTTAGTAAGAGGCAAGTGAGCATCAGCTTATACTTTCAGACACTTCTCTTCTGCAATCAAACAGTATTCAGTCTCATAATTAAGAGAGCCGCTGGCTGAGATTTACAGCCCAATGCCTTTATGAGGGTATTTGCATCAGATTCTGTTTCAATGGCAGAAATGTTACAAATTTAACTGCAGATGCACAGCTCAGGTTCCCTGCGCCCATGCTAATGGCCCAGGAAAAATCAACCCATGACATTCAGCACAGAGATCTGGCTTAAAAAACTAAATTATATCTGACTAGCTAGGTTTTATTGTTCAGAAGGGGTGGGAGTTGAGGGGTGGAGGAGAATCTAGTTACAGTGAAGCCTGTGGTCCAGGGAATGCAATTCCTGGGCTGAGCTTTCTGTCCTTACGCAGGGCACAGTCCTACAGAGCACCCTGGCATGGCTGGGACCCACATGCCCAGTCTTCTTAAAAGCTGGACTGACAAGCAAATGCTGAACCTCTCTGACTGTGTCTTTGTGATGCAGTGCAAAGAGCATTGCCTCTCTCAAATGCAGGGATGTGCCTGAATGTGTTTATACATCAGCTACTTGGTAATTAAGCAGCACTGGAAAATGAGAAGTCTGTGAAAAACACAAAGATGTTAACTCATGACCTCTTTCAGCTCATTAAGTTGAGAATAAAATGTAAAAGCAAAAGATACTGAGGATAAGCAAGAAGGGTAATTTACTTCACACCTACCTGGCATACAGAGACAGGATTCCCGGGAAGGCTAAGAACATTAAAGCAGCAAAACAAGGATATTTTTATCTTGTATATCTTTTCTGACGTGAGGATGAATCAAAGATTTTTGTTTCAACAAGAACATTGCAAGGAGAACAACAGGTCAGCCAGCTCTACCTTCTGCTTTCCCAGATAAAGCCAATTTTGCGAAAGAGACATTTTTGTGGCACTCTTTAATCCTATACAAGATTCTATCCTGTTCAACATGAAACAAGATCACAGTTGGTAGCTGATTTACTCCTAATACAGCTCTCATTTCCTTCCAGCTTTGGAAGGACTATTACTGCAAAATATGTTTTATGCATAAAACTAGATTTGTCAAGACGACAAGTTAGATGTTTCCTCTGTCTTTGCTCCTCTGGGTCTCTAATTGCCCCATTTTGTGGACACGCTGCAGGTGATAAAGCACTTGGTGTGATTCAGGAGGCCTGGCTGATGCATACTACACATCAACCATTGGAAATAATTCAGTCATGAATCTCCTTTTTATTTTTACCTTTTTTTTTCCCTTTCTTTCTTTTTTCCCCCTCTTCTGAAGAACATCTTTTTCTGGCATGTTAAAAAACAGCAACTTTCAAAATTGTTTTCTGTGAAGCACAGTTCAGTTCAGAAGACAACCTTTTCTTCTCTCATGTTATTCCACTGGTCATTTTTTCAGCATTTCCCAGAGCTATGTATAGTAATTTAGAATGGGAAAACAATTTGCAATTGACTTTATATATAGCTCTGGGTGACAAAACCTGCATGACTTACATAAATCATTTCTTGTGTTTGACATCATTTTCTATTAACCTCAGGGTGAAGACTGAACAAAAAAAAAAGCAAGAACTAAAATTGGTTGTGACATTTTTGACTATTCAGTCTTTCAATTAAACATCACCAGACAGTCTTCATAAAAGCTGTAATATAAGACAACTACAGAAGGGGCATTGCAATGTTTGCATAATTGGGAAGAGAAGGAGACATAAAATCTATACTAATTTCAGTTTTGCGTCATTAACCATGAAGTATTGATTATTGCTCCTTGCAACAAAATTTATGAAGCTAGCTATGCTGCTGTGCCCACAGAAAGCAATTTCGGCTACTCTGCCCTCAGCCCCCGGCACGATAACTGATGGGTGGCAGTGACAGCAGGGATGCTGCTCTTCGAACCCACAGCCTCAGGAGCTGCATCTCCCAGCTCGCACCAGGAGTGACCCAGCTGCAAACTCAAACTTCAGAAAATTAAATTGGAGGAGATCCATACTTCTGTTGGAACACATGATGGATTACGATGCCTCTATAAAACTGGTTATAATATAAACATATTGTAAAATTTACTGCAGTTTTTGTTTTCCTACTTTGGTTGGACACAGACATTAACGGCGATAGGGCAGCTACAGACACACATAGGTATCTAAGGAAGAAAACGCTATGAAAGCTTGAAGTGCAAGACTAGTGGTAGGAATAAACTAAATTGCCTTTTTCTAGTCTTTAACATGTACTTTATGCTTATGCATTAATTATTTTACAGCCTGTAGAGCTGTACTTTTAGGAAACTAGGCTATTGCAGTGACTTAATTAATGCCAGGGAATCCTGAAACCTTGTGGGACAGAAGATATGAAGAAGCTCAAGTCTACAGCCTCTCACTGGGCAGAGGCCCATGTAAGAGAGCTGTCTTCAGCTGCACCAAGCTAGCTTCCAGTGCAGTCCTCATGTTATAAAAGCCTGGCTTGGCTTTGCTGTCAGTATTTAGTTTGAGCAAGAAGTCTCTGAGTTGCCCTGCCTTTTTCCACTGCAACTCAGCTGTGTTTGGCTCCAAGCAGCCCAAGGACAGGCTCTGTGTATGCATGTCCAATGTGATGATTTAGCAGCCTAACCTAGCTGCCTTCAACAGTTGTAGGGTCTTTTTTAACGGAGGGACCCAGAAGCTGCTGTAGATTTTGGTCCTTGCACAGAAATGCCACCTCTTGCTTTACCAGTCTTGGAGATAGCAGCGGCCAGCCAGCTGAGGCAGGCTCAGGTGCAGAAATCAAACAATCTAAATGCACCACTCCTGAAATTGGTTTCCAAGAAGTCTGTTTCAAAATACAATATTAGTGCAAATTCTAAGGAAAGAAATCTGCAGACATTAAGTCACACCTAGATAAATATTTACCTCAAGTAGCAGGCAATGATTCTTTTTTTGTTATACCTAAAAATGCCCATTCAGGTCAGTGGGGCTATTTATACCAACACAGAGAAGTCAGGGCAGAGACACATCTTAAAATTTAATTTTCAAAATCCTTTTTGTACTTGCATGCTATTGTTTGAGTATGTCTGCCCAAGAGATGTGTCACTTGCTGCTGAATGAATATACCCCAGTGCTTCCTGAGAGGTCAGAGAGATGGAGATGGGAAACCTATTTCAGCAGTACCGCAAAACTGCTAAAAATAGCAGTAAAACAGGTTTGGTTTTCCATTTTATAATTAAGAGTGAATGTAGCAGTTATTCAAATATGCCACCTTTGGGTAGTTCTTTATTTCATTGACATTCTTCCAAATTTTAATCATTTTTTTGTTGAATGGTGATTTACAATTATGCAAGAAAACTTCCACTTATGTGCATTCCTTACTTGCAAGTTGCTTGCAAAACACCACAGTACCAGTTTGAGGTCCTCCTGACACAGAAAGGCCGCAGTAACTGGCAAAACTCTCTGCTGGAGCGGCACGGCTGCTCTTGCCCCATTGGAGTAGGATGCTGGAAAGGGGCTGGGGCGTCAGCACCTGGGTGAGCTGCAGCAGAGCTGAGCACAGCCCAACCATGACCTCTGAGGGCAAACTATGTCTCATCAGCCTTCCCATGCGACACAGGGAGGGAGCTAGTGCCAAGAGCTTTAGTTTGGAAATATCAATAAAGATCACTGGAGCTTTCACAGCTGCTCTTGCCAGTGAATGTGTTAGCCTGTCTCATTGTTCCAGAGCCACTGCATTGCATTTAAAGGCAAACATATGAGTTCTTCTCTGCAGCACTGACACAGGCATGTGCGAAACCCGTCACTCCTTTCCAGCACAGCCTCTGAAGCGATGGCACAGCCAGGGCAAACACAGCTGAAGGCAACCTGAAGCCAGAAACACTGTAACGCCTGCTGCTGTTATCACCAGAAGCCATGCAGGATCCCTCTTCTGATCAAAGCCACCTGATGTCTCTTTCTGTCACCTATTAGGAAGCCAATTTATAGGCTTAAACATTCTCATCTCCTGCTGTTTTCCAGTTCTGTGGTCGTCAGAGGTAGATAGAGGATTTAGATTGGATGCAAGGTTTACATTGGATTTTGGGAGAAATTTCTTTACTGAAAGAGTGGTTGAGCACTGGAACGGGCTGCTCAGGGAAGTGGTGGAGTCACTATCCCTGAAGGTGTTAAGAAAAACATGTAGACATGGCACTTTGGGACATGGTTTAGTGGGCATGGTGGTGTTGGATTGATGGTTGGACTTGATGATCTTGGAGGTTTTTTCCAACCTTAATGATTCTATGATTCTAAGATAGTGAAGCGCTCTCTGCTGCCACTCACCTCTCCCAGTCCATTGCACAGGCCTGGGGACAGCACATGCAGTGCTCAAACACTTCTAGCTCAGCTCCAATTCATGGGCCATTCGTATTCCAGTAGAGAAGCAGCAGCCCCAGCTGCTTTTCAAACACCTCAGCTGCTTTGGTTACTGCAAACAGTCCATGGCCAATGCTGTTATGAACTGCTTACACCCAGGACTTCTGTTATCCGTATTTTTAAGAGCCTTTTTCTCATTTAACAAAGAATTCTCCCCATCTCCTTTTTGTGACCATGAAGCATCTTGAGTTTTATTAATTTTGTATTTTTTCATTTTACATTTTTTTTCATTTGTCAGTTTATTCATTTTCATTTATATTTTGCTCAGGTTTGCCACGGAAGACCAGGGCC